GTAAACCCATGCATATCTGGGTTGAAATATTCATTATCAATGTCTCTAAATTTTCAAGTTTTTAAGAATAATATTGGAAAGTTAAATGGATTTAGGTTTTTTCTGTCAACTTCTCTGAAAATAGTCACAGGAAAACATAATTTGTTGTCACTGGAAAATTGCAGGCTGTTGAAAGAGGTCAAAAATGTACATTTTAGAACAAGGTCTACTAAAACCACAGAAGAGTTTTTACAAAAGAGCTTTTACATGAATGTAGCACAGTTCTCTACGTACAAGTCACTCAATATGGTAAGTGTATAGGCTTTAAATATTTTGAGTTGGCTACATTTGATCAATAAATGGCCTTAAAAAACATTCTCATAGCATTTTCACATTATGCAGCAAGCTAAAGGTGAGAATGTATTTTATTTACCACTTTCAGTATAAAACAGGTTACGCTTTCACAATATCCAAGTATAAATGCAATACTAACAAGCTAATTCAGAATATGTGTCCCCTGCTTAAGGAAAAAGAAGAGCATGTACGGATTTAGAGGGATGGTGGTTGTAGGGTGGTGGGGATGGGGGGACGGGACACTTTAAGAGGAGCGGACGGGACCATAGAGTGTTATTTCTTTGCAAAAGCTGAAAAGCTCCTTGAGATATCGCTCGGAAATGAAAGTTTTACACACAAAGAGAATGTATAAATTTTTGACATTGACCTTTGACCTTTTGACCTCGAAATCAATAGGGGTCTTTTTTAGTTCATAGGGAGTTGTGGTTTTAAATTTCAATGCAAAAGCTCGAAGGCTTCTCGAGATATTGCACAGAAATAAAGTGTTTAAACAGACTGGATTTATGAATTCATGATCTTGACCTTTGACCTTAAAATCAATGGGAGTCTTCCTTAGGCTACAGGGATTTTTTATGCAAAATTTGATTGCAAAGGCTCAAAGGCTTCTCGAAACATCGGGCCGAAACGAAAGTGTTACAGAAAGACAGACTGACGGACAGATGGACGGTTAGACAGACCCAAATCAATATCCCCTACTTTCAGTGAAAGCGGGGGACAAAAAGGCAATTTTTATATACCATTGTGACCTTCTGTCCGTATTTACCAATTCATGTACGTGATGCTACATGTAGCTTTTGTCCACCAGGACTGTAATTTTGTTTATTCATTCTGTTGAAAACAAAAGTATTAGTTGGGACACAGAAAAAAAATGTGCTTAGTTTCCTTAAATTTCTACCTAAATCGAGCCATTTTTACCTTGACCTTTGACTTTTTGTCATGAAAATTGATTTTTCTCTTTGTTTTTGCCATTGTGTACCACATAAATAAATTTGGTTTCAATCCATTTTAAAATACTTGGGTATTTATATGGAAACTGATTGTAGATACCTATTGCCCATGTCTGGAATTCTTTAAAAAAGCGTAAGTTTGTACACATGTAACCATGGTAATATGAAAACAAAATATGAATACCATGTGTTTCTTTGCAGTTTATATTAGAACTGTATATGGACTTTCAAACCAAAATATTTATTTTTTCCCATATGTCCGCAAAATTTTATACCAGGCTTTTCAAAAGAGCCTAAAATCTACCATTTTTCCACAGAAAAATCCTACCCTAAAACGGGCGATGTTTTCTTCTATTAGGTAAAGTTACTCAAATACTAGAAATTATCTTAAGAACTATAAAAATGATGTATTTTGGCGAAAAGATGAAGTTATGTAAATATCTTGTTGTATTAAAGACTTTTAATTAGTCTAAAAGGGTCATTTTTCATCAAAATTTAGCATTTTAGGCCATGAAAAATGTATGTTGGTTACCATTGACCAAAGCAACCATTTTATTATGATTTTTAGTTTCATGCATCAATATAGGAATGTGTGCCAAGTTTCATAAAAATCTAAGACCTAGCGTGCCACATTCCCTATATACGAGTTTAAATGCTTACAGAGAATGGCTATTAAGGCTTCCGGGAGAAAATCGCAGTGTAATCTGTGCCTTCACTTCTCTGAACTACAAATGTATGACGTCATAATTGAAAATGACGTTAAGTTACTGTAACCTTGAGCTGTTATGATGGGGAGAGTGTCATAAACTTTACACCTTATTTCAATTTGCATATAAAGTGTCAGAAAGATAATGTAAAATAAACGTGTTTTAATCTTTTTTAAAATCTTATATATCCGAATATTTTCGATAACTTTGCTTTATTACTCTTGTTTAAAAGTCAGCGTGTTCAAAATGTATACGAAAATATACGTTTGACATATGCCCTTTTTTATAATCTTGGATAGAAGTAGAATTTATAATATGTGTATAAAAGAGCCGGGCGCAGGTGATTAATGAGGATTTATTTGAGATCTTTTGTGGATATCTGTAAGAGGAGTATCCCCTCTAACTAAATCTTGCTTGGAAAAAATGTGTGATGGCTTTGTTTTAATACAGATGACGATATTGATGGAAAATACCCTCAAATATGTCGGTTATTTGAATTTATTGTGAAATATTTTGTACTAGAGTAATAGTATAAACCTTTCCTAAGCACATTTCGGGTTCACAAGGATGCGACGAGTTTAATTATGTGACAAAAAGTTAATACTAATTGTGTTAACCAACTGTGCCGAAGCGATTTATGTGAAACACTTCAGAAAAAGTAGAAAAAAGTGATCAACGAGGTCATATGATATCGTAACAAATACGTTTATATATAGCCTAGAGAACTCTCTATATAAATTGGCGGTACTTAAGTACATAAATTACAAATAAAAATAAAAATAAACCTTGCTATGCAGTGTTATGTTTTGCACGCATTTAAAGCTTCGGGAAGCTTTAACATTGCTGCGTATGAACTTAGAAATGTGTAATTGTTGTAATACTTAAAAATCAGCTCTTTTTGTTTTAAAGAAAACAAAATAGGAAATAATTGATGCAGGAAAAGACTATGGAAAAAGAAAATTCTTAATCAATGATGTGCGCCATCGTCTGCAAAAACGAACTCTTGATGTCAGAATGCGTTTGGCTAGAATTTCTTGTCAACCACAACCTAAGGAGAGTATTTCACGCATAATGAACAAAGCGGTACTGGAAATCTGACTATTGGTTTTCTGGGACTCCAGGATACGATTCCCAGATGAGCTCAGATCTCATATTTTGAGAAAGCAATCACAGGAATGCTCTTGAACAGTTTTGATATCATGCTGGAAATCATTGGTGCAGTACATAACCCAATAACATAGCCTAGATCCCCCCCTTGCCCCGAAATCAATTGCCTATAAACACCATGATAAAGCTAATTTGCACAAAGTTCGACCTTTCAACAAATTTCAAAGCAACGAAATTATTGTTTTTTCAAAACCCTTCGAATAGCAATCCTTTTACATTTATCTAATTTCGATTAATTGATCCCTTGTTATCGATATTTTATCACTATTGAGTATTAATTGAAAATTAGTAAACATCACTATTTATTTTATATTTTAAAAATTTAATTAGGTAAGAGGAAAATTGTAATCAATCCTTCCTTGTTTATATTAAGTGCAATTTAAGGAATAACAAAAAAAGATAAAATGTTTATTTATCAGCAGTTTTATTGTCATATTTATATATACCAAAGCCATTTTCAGATGCAAGGCATCCGAATTTTCTATAAGTATATTATCAAACAATGCCAACGGTCACGGTAGCCTATTGGTAGGGCGTTCGCTTCGTGATCGGGAGGCCCGGGTTCGATTCTCGTTCGCCGCGCCGCGTCAAACCTAAGACGTAAACATAGGTAGTGACTGTTCCTTCGCCAAGCGCCCGGCATTAGAAGTGAAAGTCACTGGTCTTTCGGATATGACCTTAAAACATAGGTCCCGTGTCACGGTAGGCATTGGCACGATAAAGAACCCTAAATTTGAAGCCCTTCCCCGGCATACGGTGACGCCTCTATATGAGTGAAAAATTCTCAAATGGGACATTAAACAATATACAATCAATCAATCAAACAATGCCAAACATTTTAAGTATCACAATGAAAACTTAAGTGAGGTACAGCTATTGGGTATTAGTAACACAAAAGGATCTTCAGCGATTGCAAAACTTTATTATTTTTTTTATAAAAAAGAACAAATTCAGTAAAATGAACTCCTAATCCAGGAAAGTCGCCATAAGTTGAGGAACATTTAATTCAGGAAACAGAGATATCCACAATGCATATATTGACTTCCACCCAAAACTGTGGTTGAACTTTCGACCTCAAAACCAATCAGTGCAAGAACAGAGTGCTAAAGCACTGGAACATCAAGGGAAGTTAGTTTCAACTTGCTTACGTTGGCGATAGAATTCTCTCGGCGTCGCAGTATGTGTGCATTACATGATAATTGAGAATAAGCGTGAGATACAGCCATTTGGAATAAGTTTAATTTCATATTTGACCTTTTTCAATACCAAGCATTTTGGCTATCATATTTTAAGGATACATTACAATAAATAATTAATCATGTAATGATATTCATCCTCTGAGGTATTATCTCTCAATATCTAACAGAATTACAAACATGGAAAATAAGTTTTCAAAGCTTCAATTAGTTCAGACATTAGTCATAACTATTAAGTTAATAACAATTTCACTGAATTTGGATATACATCACAACAACGCAGTGACGTGGACATTGTTAGACTCGATGACCATCGCATAGCTTTACTTACAATTCGACAATCTTAAATCGACCTAGGAGGCATTCTATGCTCTTATTTTTTTCCCCTTAATTATTACGCGAAAGCCTTGTACTTATGCATTGCAGCTGCAAAGAGCCTGGCTTATCGTGCAAAAACTTTGTGGTTATGCATTAAGTGTTTTCCATTCAAGTGTTTTGCTGGCCAGGGCACTAGCATTTATTGAAGTAACACTTAATATTTTAAATTTCATTTGTTTCCTTTTGAGACTGCAGCTGCAGCAAAGATGTGGGACTGAAGGAAACATAATACGAAAACTTATGCAATGATGATGATGGAATTTATATCTTACTTGTTGTAATACTTTCCCCTCCGTCTCTAGCTCCTAAAAATAAAAAAAAAAAAGATAAAGAAAATTATTCAATCGAAATATATTTTAACAAACTCCTTTTTTGCACAAAGTCATTAATTGAGAGAAAATGAGCATGTGGATGACACACTTTATAAGTAAAAAAAAATAATTAGAATAGTTCTCATAAAAGAAAATGATGGTATCTAGCATTTACTTGTATTTCATGAAGGTGGTTGATTTTAGAATAATATAAGACAAAACTTGAAGTTTAAACCGAACACTTTTTTTTTTAATTTAGAAAGTATAAATTTCTCTTAGTTTATGACTTTTAGGAATTTCATTGGAAAGAAAATGAAAACGACTACTCAGTTCCATATTGGAAGATTTTTTTAAACCTATATGAAGAAATATAAGGAGAATCAGATTAAATATCACATTGACTAAATTGACTTCGTCATAGTATATATTAATGAAAATATTGATTGTTATTAAAGCCATCAGTAGTTATGAAATTTAGTACAGCTTATATTAACTTCAGTATATCTATCCACCCGCTATAATTTATCCTTAATGTGCGTTTAACACGTTAGTGACGTCACATATGGTCTACTCGAGAAGCAAATAAAGTACATAGTGTTTTTTCGGTGAGATTTGTGAAGTATAAACAGGTTATAGTCAGTCACGGTGATTTCAAAACACTACCTGTGTTCATTATAAGACAACATGATTAGAATAAATTAGCGTACCTGATTCTTAATCTTTAATTCCTTATAAATCACACATAACATTAACGGTATATGCTTTGAAACTCCCATATCATATATTTGATTACATGAATTCTCGTCACGTTTAATTTTCACTCGGCAAATATTTCATCAATAGTTATGATGTGATGGGTTTGGTATTTTTCCTCAGTGATAAATACTTAGCTAATTTCACCACCCAAAAACGACAAGATTTAGTTTATGTAATGTTTTTGAATGATTCCATTCATTTTTTGGACCTGAAATCAAACTTTAAATATAGATATTAAGAAGTCAATATCTCTGAAGTTCACGTCATACAGCTTACTTTGACGTCATACTGTATAGGCAAGTAGGATATGTGAGTGCAGCCTTAACATACCCGCGTCTAGATAGATATCCAAGAAGAAAGATTTTGAAATTATGTAATATATTTCAAACAACTTCCTTTCTTCTCTGATGCCAGACACTTTGACCAAGGATCAGATTCCACAATTTTGATTGAAGACTTATTATACAAATGCAAATTTGCTGATTTTTTTGACGAGAAAAGAAAACGATTTTCAAATGTGAATCAAACTTTTCATATTTGACCAGCAAAGCCCTAAGCTGCATCTGCCAATATCCTGAATTATCAAGTAATACTCTAGCTAACAGTTGTATGCGATATGTGCAGGAGTACAGAAAAAAAATTAAATATTAATGAATAAAAAATTCCACCATTCATATAAATATAAACGTAAAATAACGCCTTAATTAACATTTTTCGCTATAACGCCTCTTAAAACAGGCCCGTATTACCAGGGGTTCAAGGCACCACCACCCCAAACCCAGTTTTTGGGGAAATAGTCTTGTGTAAGTTTTAATAAAAGCGTAATTATTTATAGGCTGCTTGGCCCCTTACATTTTGTTGTAGTATAGTCGAACCCAAGCTATTATAAAAAGAAATACCAAAAATAGAGAAAGACCCTCTTTATCCCTAGCCCATCCCAAAGAAATAGGGTTTTTGAGTTTTGGGAGTTTAGTTCCTTGTTTTGTTTTGTGTTCTTGCTGCTCTTTTTTGTTGTTTTGTTGTTGTTGTTGTTGTTGTTTTATGTTTTATGACTTGTCACCTTTTGGAAGACTAATCTTCCCTTTCAAAAATGTACTTATGGGCGTGTCAAGAGAGGGAATAAAGGTTTTTCAAAAGGTTTAATAATGCCTTATCGAAAGGCGTCATAACACATTTTTAAAAGCGTAGTAACGCCCTTCTGAAAGGCGTAATATTGTCTTTTCAAAAGGTGTAATAAAGATTTCTCAAAAATCTTCTTGATAACTTTTCGAGACGCCTTTATTGGCGTTAAAACAGCGCCATAACGCCTTTATTGACGTTAAAACGCGGTGTATACATTTTTTTTTTTTTTTAAATACAATATGTAATTACGTCTTTTCTCTTCGCCTTTACAAAGCATTTTAAATGGCAATATATATATATATATATATATATATATATATATATATATATATATATATATATATATATATATATATATATATATATATATATATATACAGTCCCTGAAACGTTCTACTTTCCCACTTGAACGGTGAGCGAACGCTGAACGAACGGTGAACGAACGCAGAGCGAACGGTGAGTGAACGATGTGTGAACGCTGAACGCAACTTGGTGAACGATGTGTGAACGCTGAACGGTGAGCAAACGCAGAACGCGAACGGAGCGCAAACGCGAACGCAAAGTGAACGGTGAACGAACGGTGAACGCAAATTGAACGATATATTCGGAATGCCTCTGATCTTTTCCTTGCATTGAAACTATTTTATTGTTTTATAATATCAGTGCAAAAAAATAAATAAATAAATAAGTAAACAAATAAATGAATGAATAAATAAGTCAATAAAATAAATTCTCCAAAATTGTCCTAAGAAAGACGATGCATGCACATTAAGTTTTTAATCACACGATTTTTATTGCATTAAAACATTGCAATTGTTGCCGAACACTCAAGTATAAACAAATCAGAGAAAACTTCTGACTTATAGAATGAATTAAAGCGGTTGTAACATCCATTCATATATATCCGTGTCAGGGCGATTTCGTGTAAAGTAATGAAAAAAAAAAATAATTACAAAGGTCAGTGGACGTTTTGCATTTATACGCTCGTATTTTAAATTTTCAATACAATAATATATTATGTGTCATTTTTATTTTTCATGATGATTTATTGAGCAGACTTCTACATGTATATCTAGATGGCCGTGGTTATACTCGGACAAGATAATACAAAGATACATATTCATATTATTTGTTATAAATTCAATGTTCAGAACTTGATATTTAAGTAATATGCTTTTATAGTTTTTATTAAACAGACAAATGAGAGAGAGAGAGAGAGAGAGAGAGAGAGAGAGAGAGAGAGATTCCGTTTTAGCCCCCCCATCCTTTCAGGCTTCACTAAATGTTTGTACCTATATCAAACAAAAACTCTTTTTTTTTCTAAATATATCAGACAGTGAAAGTAACTTTTTTTTTTTATCAACAAATCATATCCATTTGTTTGACAGTCATACTCGTTTATATTTTCCTGCTTCAAGTTTACACGAAGTCCACGTGCTTGTCCTGTCAATCAAAATCATTCGACACTGTGCAGGTGTGAAAGTTTCGTCACATCGAAGACGAAGTGCGAGTATTTCCAACAAGTTATAACATTTATTTTTATCATTTCTAGATTTGATCCCAACATTTGAATAATAAATGAATAAAATACATTGGGCATTAACACTTGAATTTGAAACATACTCTCCGCCAATTTCAAATACCACCGCCGACACGTGTACATTTTGAACTACTATTGTTTTGTGACTTTTTTAGATGCATGTTTGTTTTGAGACTGAAATTTTTGTTCTAAAAAAGACCTTACATATTTTTTTTAAATGTTAATTAAAATATTCTGGAAATACAGTACTGACTAAGTAACCAATCTAGGGGGAAAATGGGGGGGGGGGGTATTAATCATATCGAATGGCAAACCTATAAAGTCACGGTGAAGAAAGAATTTTTTCTCTATAACTATAGACTCTACATATTATAGAAGAGAAAATTCTGCAGTGCAGTACATTTCAAATAAATATTTCCTTTAACCATACTGTCAATTTAATTCGCTCCAAAGATAATAAATTAACAGGAAATGCGCAGTACTATGTATAACTCTCAGAACTAGTTCTATCATATTTTCTCTAGTAATTGGGGAAAAAAGTGTTAGAAATAAGTATTTTCGTAATTTTGCTGCGTGATTATTTGACTTGGATAATTATATCACCATTAACAATTTGTCGTCTTTAACAAAACAAAAAAATGTTGCAGTGCTTGAAGTATTTGCACATTGCCCTTAGTTAAATTTTACATTTCAGCATCATTCTACATAGGTACAGAATGTGCTTATAACAACATTTATTTTCCAGAGTAATTTAATAAATAATCTAATAACTAAGATGGAATAATAAAAATATATATCGTAGATATTTTTCAACATGAAATAATGATTCTTCAAACACGATATGTTAGTTATTAAATTAAAAAACCTGTTTTAGGGTTTTAATATTTGACATGAGTGTTCATTATGACAAGACATTTCAATTGGTACAGAAATTTCTGATCATGTGACCTCAACTGTGACCTTTTACTTACATTAGAAAAAAAAACATAAAATTGTGAGTATATTGTGAGTATATTTCTACCCTTTTTTATGCAACAAGTGTTATTTTGCAAAAACAATATCATGCATATCAGTATCAGTACTAGTAGTAACATGAGTGGCACTAAAAGTTGCACAATAATAACTATCAAATAAGTGACTGTAAAATTTCAATAAGGAGCACATTTTCAGTATAATTTAAATTTCTGCCTTGCAGGATATGGTCCAGACCGAACTTAAAAACAAAAACACACGTATCAGATTAACAGGTATCATCTCCAAGTTCAAGTGCGATTGTTGTTACATTATTCAGCACTTCTTACATTCTACAGAAAACTGAATTTGGTGGTGTCTGCTGTTCAGAGTTTTGAATACCCCCAAAACATTCTTATATTGTGGAAGTGGATTACTTCCTGCGGTCATTTGATGAATACGAATTATACACTGTATGTGTTGCAGGAAGTTAATAAATTTGAATTTTTTTGTTACTGACATAAGAAAAAACTGCTAACTGAGCAGATTAATATTGAAATTAACTAATATAAATATATATGTTTCAAAATATATGTATATTTGATTTAAAATTCTTTTAATAAAT